AAAATAATACTTCAAGTGCTACTAGAAACTCCACTCCTAACATCATCGGATTGTATTTGCTGCAACTGCTAGTGCTCCCAAGGTCTATTTTCCGTACTGTCATTTCTGGATGATGATTCCCCGTCAGATCAAGAGCTTGTTACTAGCCCCCAAGTATGTCTCCGTACCCTCAGCCCTATTATTTTCCACCCGGCTTCCATTACTCCAATCCATGAGGTCATTCAATTTCACCCTGGGTAATTTTCCAGTCCTCATCTGCGCTGATGCCTCTTAACTTGGTGTCATGCGTGAATTTAAAAATACCAGACTCTCACCGTCGCCACCCGTGCCCCCGGAGTCCCCAAGACCACAGCGAAAGAAAGAAAAAAATGAACCGAAAAATGATCTTCGGGAAACAAGAGAGAGCTCCATGAAAATTAAAAAGCTTGCCATTTGAACAGTCGAAAGACACACTTCAGAAACCCAGAAAATAAGCAAAAAAATCTGTGATTTCTCTCTTCATGTACTTTGGGGTGTAACATTTGATCATTATTATTAGCATGGTAGCATGTACTTATCTGTCACCTTGCAAGAACACAAGGTACACAGCAGACCTCTGTCCCAAAGATTTTATAGTCTATGTCACATTGGTGACACTTTTGTGACCCTAACGGTTGCTGGCTGATGGTTTCCACATCAGTGGATTAGCAAATTTGCTCTGGGTTCTAATGTGAACTCTTAAGAAGTTTAAGGGGTGACATGAGAGCCATGCTTAAATATTTGAAGGGATCATGTTGAGGATGGAGCAAGCTTGCTTTCTGATGCTCCAGAGAATAGGATCTGGAACAATGGATGCAAGCTGCAAGAAAAGAGATTCCATCTCAACATTAGGAGAAACTTCCTAATGGTCAAAGCTGTTTGGCAGTGGAATATGTTGCCTTGGAGTGTAGTGGAATCTCCTTCTTTAGAGGGTTTTAAACAGAGTCTAGATGTGCATCTGTCGGAAGTGCTTGGATTGGGTCTTCCTGATTGGCAGGGGGTTGGACTGGATAGCCCTTGGGGGTCTCTTCCAACTCTAGGATTCTAGGATTTGGACTTCAGCTCCCATAACTCTTGACTGTTGGCCAAGTTATCTAGGGCCTCTGGGAAATGAAGTCCAAAACAAATGGAGGCTGAAAGGTTGGGAACCACTGCCTTTTG